GACAAACAACTTGTCCATCACAAACACCTGCTTGACACAGATAAACAGATAATTCTCTACACAGACATCAGCAGAGGCCTAAAATAGAAATAAATGTACTATATAATTGGAAGCAGAAGATATATTTCCTTAAAAAATTGCTCTTCCAGGTAATTTTTTAAAGAAATATACAGTGGATTATTGCGGCATTCTGTCTGTAACTAACTCTCAAGTAGTTCAGACAGAGAAAGAATGTATGTGGTAAAATAACATTAAGGGAATTTTGTAATTTTGGCCAAGTTTGTGAGGAATGGATATCAATTCTTCTTTGAAAGTTTGGTAGAAATCACCAGTGAAGCCATTTGGGCCTGAGCTTTTCATGGTGGTAGTTTTCAACCTCTTTACTTGTTACAAGTCCATTCAGATGAGCAATTTCTTCTTGAGAGAGTTTCAGTAGTTTGCTTCTTTCTAGGAATTTGTCCATTTTTAATCTAATTTATCCTATATAATAAAGAGGTATTATGCAAATTGACCATCACTCCAACACACAAGATGGCCAACCCCATGTGGTCAAAGATGGCCGCCCCCATGTGGCCACAAAATGGCCTTCAGGGGTGGGCAGTTGGGAGGACCAGGCCTGCAGGGGAGGGAAGGCAATTGGGGGCGACCAGGCTTGCAGGGGAGTGTAGTTGAGAGGGACTAGGCCTACAGGGGAGGGCAGCTGGGAACAACCGGGACAGCAGGGAGGGCAGTTGTGGGTGACCGGGCCGGAAGAGGAGGGCATTTGGCGGCATTCAGACCAGCAGGGGAGACGTTAGACATTGATCAGGCTGGCAGGGAGCGGTTAGGGGTGATCAGGTTGGCAGGCAAAAGCAGTTAGGAGCAATCAGGCAGGCAGGCGGGTGAGCAGTTGGGAGCCAGCAGTCCTGGATTGTGAGATGGATGTCCGACTGCCCGTTTAGGCCACAGGGATCAGGCCCATAGGGACCAGGCCTAAATGGGCAGTCAGACAAGGGGTCCTAGATTGGAGAGTGTGCAGACTGGGCTGAAGAACACCTCTCCCTCAGTGCACAAATTTCGTGCACTGGGCCTCTAGTCATTTACATAAATCTTTATTTTTTGCTTCTGCTTGCTTTGGGTTTAGTTTGCTTTTATTTTACAGTGTCCTAAGGTGAAAGAATATTGATTAAGATATGCTGTTTTGTTAGTAGTTCTCCAGGGCGCATATAAATATATATATTTATCAAAATGTACTTCAGTCTGTTCTCTGCATCTCTGAATATTTCTATTTTATTTGTTAGTTTATTTTGTTCATTAGATTCCACATATAAGTAAAATCATATGGTATTTGTCTTCCTCTGACTGGCTTACTTACTTAGCATAATACTCTCCAGAACCTCAGAGGGGAAGGGGGATTGAGAGATTGGGTGAAAAATGTGAAGAGTTTAAGAAAAAAAAACCCTCACATATATAGACAACAGTATGATGATTCCTAGAGGCAAAAGGTGGTGGAAAGGTAGAAGGGAAAAAAGGGGGGATAAACGATGATGGAAGGAGATTTGACTCTGGGTGGTAAACATATAATATACTGATGATGTATTATAGAATTTTATACTTGTAACCCATATAACTTTACCAATCAATATCACTCCAATAAATTCAATAAAATTAAAAAGAATATACCTCAAACTTATGCTAAATTAATTCTAGTGAAATATAAAACAGTTACTCCTATAACTCTATTCCCCCTTTCATTCATTTAGTGCTATTATTTTTACATCTATAGTACAAATTACATCTATATATATGTAACAACCCAAACAATGCATTTTGATAATTATTAACTCGTATGACTCTGTCTTTTAAAAAGGCTGAAACAGAAAGAATAAATGTATAGTGCTTGTTATAGTAACTTTCTTTCTTATAATCTCTGATTCTCTGTATTCCTATGAGTTCATATTAATATCACCTGTCATATCTTTATTTCAATAGGCTGTGCAACCACTTACCTTCTTTTGTCTGCTTTGCTAAATAGATTACTTTTAAGTATGAAATAGACCCTACAATACAATTATATTCATACTAGAGGCCTGGTACACGAAATTAGTGCACTGGGGGGTGGGGGTCCCTCAGCCCAGCCTGCCCCCTCTCACAGTCTGGGAGCCCTTAGGGGATGTCCTACTGATGCCGTGGAGGCTCGGAGCAGGCGCCCCGTGTCTGCGTGTGTGTGTCTGTGTGTGTGTGTCCGCTGGGTGCGTCTGAGGCTCAGAGCAGGTGCCCCTTGTGTGTGTGTGTGTGTGTGTGTGCTAGAATTCCCCTGCCTTTTTTGGTGTTCTTTTGGGTAATATGGTTACTACTTAAAATATTTATAAATAAACATATATTGCTGCAAATTTAATAGGAATCAGGATATTCTTGAGTGCAGGATTTTGATGTCAGTAGTGTAAGAATGAAGTAACCAGCATATTGGACTTCATTATTTTTTTTAACATTTTAAGTAAAGTTCAAGCAGGAGGGGCCAGGCCCTGCACTCTAGGCCCTTCACGGAGTCATCTTTTTTGCCCTCAGTCATCTTCCTTTTTCCAGGCCTGAGCACAGCAGAGTTCTTCTTGTTGTTGTTTTTTTGTTTGTTTGTTTGTTTTACCTTTTTTTCTTTTTCTTTTTAAAAGAAGGTGGAGATTTCTAGAAAAGACAAAATTACAGGGACAGAAAGCAGACCTGTGGTTGTCTGGGGCTGGAGTGAGGTTGACTGCAGATGGGCAAACAGCAAGATGGAAGTTTGTTAAACGGTTTGTGTCGGTTGTTGAGCTGCTGTGGAAATTCACGCATCAAACAGTATACCAGCAGTGGGTGAGTTGTATGGCATTTAAGTGCCTCTTTGAGAAAGCTGTGTAAAGGTGTACATCTAAAAGGGGACCTTCTTAAAACCACAGTTGGTGAGAGATTACCACCTTCTAGGAAATTGATAGAAAGTGTTCAGTCAATGGTTGTGAACTTGAAGAAGAGTGGAGAAGGTACTGAACTGGAAGGCTTTATGTCACCTGGGCAGGTCTAAACTCTGTCTGGGTCTGTTTCCCCGTCTGTGACCTCCAGAGTTGATGCCCTCGGAGGGGTGAGAGGTGCCTGGGACAGCCCCTGTGGTGGCTGCCCTGCCCAGTGCTCTGTGCTGCAGACCCTCGGGCTGTCCCAGGGCTGCTGTGCCTTCACCTTTGCCACAGAGCACCTCTGCCTTCCTGCCTTTGTGCGGAGAACTTCCTCCCACCAGCCCCTGGAGCAAACACACAGCCGGGAACAATTGGAAAATCCAGATTGGCCTGGCCCCATTTCATCCCACCCCTGGCTCCTTCCCTTGAAGGGGACCAGAAAAGCAACCAGGAGAGTGACCCGGAGAAAGCCCCTCAGACCAAGGGGCCCAAGCACCTCATGGGCACGGGTACACGTGGCAGGCTAGGCTTTCCTCTTCCCTTGCAGCCCTGACAGGTGACCTCAGCCGCATAGGCTTGGAGCAGGCACCGTGTGTGTGTGTGTG